CTTTCAGGCAGCCGTGATCTCCGTCCTCACACCGACCCGGTGAGGAAGACAGTGACAGAAAATGCTCACCTCTGGGTAAAAATGACCGCAGACTCCACAGGCAGCGTGCAGGGCAGCATCACGTAGGACATTATCTTCACTGGTAAGAAGTTGCGAATCTTGCTCATGTATCCACCTCTGTCTTTGATTGCTTTGCTCAGTGCTGGAAAAGACGATTTGGACCTACACCTCCCTCCCGTGTGAAAAACCAAACTACTTTACTCTGGGGCGCTCGGAATTTCCGTGAGACACACCAATGCTGGCAGCGGCAAGGTCAGACGCGTTCCAAGCGAGACACGCGCTGGGGTCTGCCAGGCTGTCCCTTCCACAGCAAGGCCCATGTGAAGATCGAGGAGGGAACATGGTCCAGAACAGCCCTGAGGCCGCTTACGGGTCACACGGCTCCCAATTCACAGCTCTCTTAAACTGACAAATATGTTTGGAAGTAGCCGTTCCAAAAACCCTGATTTTTTTTCTTGAAAAGACAGGGCCATTTTCAATGTCACAGCCGAAATTAAATAGATGCTGGTGTGGAAGTCATGAGGCCAAACACCATGTTGTATAAAGAAATCCGAACAGAGCCCACAGCAAATGCCGTGCATGGAAACAGCCACGTCAACCGTAACGGCACGCTTGTCCTACAATCTGCTCAAAGGCTACATGCCGGGCCTGACCCCTCGGCTGGATTCCAGCACCTTCTGCCTGCAGCCCCAGCCTTAGATTTCCCCTGAGGATCTTGTGACACCTCAAGTCACCCACCCATTAGGGCGTTTGCACCTCAAGGGCCAGCAATTGTGTCTGACTCCTCTTTGAACTTCACAAACTGCCTGACCCAGAAGCTGGCCTGTGTCTCCATCTGTCTGTCTGACTCAGTCTGCTCAGGCTGCTATAACAAGATGCCACTGACTGGCGGCTTATCAACAACAAACATTTATTTCCCACAGTCCTGGGAAGTCCCAGATCCAGGCGCTGGCAGATGTCCTGGTGTCTGGTAAGGGCTCCTTCTTCACAGACAGCGCCTCTGTGTCCTCAAGGGACAAGGGGGCTCTCTGGGGCCTCCCAGAGGCCCCACCTCCTAAGACCATCACTTCAGGGGTTAGGATTTCAACATATAAATTTGGGGGGGACACACAAACATTCAGACCAAACCATTGCCCATTTAATAGTTGATGACATTAAAAAACACAGCACCATTCAATGGAGGTTCAAAACCGTGCCTTTGGGGGAAGCGGCAGTTTAGAAGAGGCCTCGAGAGAGGAGGCCTTGAGGTGGGTGGGTAGTGGACAGTGACGTTCTGAGTAAGGCGCCGAGTCCCAGTGGCCGGAACCCCGGCCCAAGGTCCACACACCCCATCACAGACAGAGCTCAGGCGCTGCGTCAGCGAGACAGAGCTGGCAAGGCGAGCCAGGGCCTGGCTGCTGCGGGCGGGAGCCTGTGCGCTCACCCCACTGCGCTCAGGTGGCGTTTGTCTTCCTTCTGGTCGTGACCCCATGAGATGGGAGACGCGGCAAGGGGCTGGGATGGGGGAGGCCTGTGCTGGGAGGTGGCGACCCCAAACTGGGCCTGTGAGGGTGGGCGGAGATGCTCCCCACAGCCTGTCCTGGTCACTCTGTGCATCCCTCCCCGGGTGGCAGCATCACCTTCCTCCACAGCACATAGGAAAGAGGCCCTCTCACTCTCTCGAGCTTTCACAGGAAACACACGTGGCCCGTGCCCACCCCCAGGGAGCCGGTACCTATAGTCAGCGTGGGCGAGAGGGTCCCCAGAATGCTCTCATCCCACGGCAGGATGCCCTTGTCCCAGGGCAGGATGCTCTTGTCCCAGGACAGGATGCTGAGGTGCAGGTGGTCCAGCAGCGCATCCCCCTCGAGCCCCGTCTCCACGGCAGCTGGCCCCAGGGAAGACTCCAGGCTCATGTTTTCCCGGTGGGGCCCAGTGACCTCCGACTCCTTGTCTTCTGGGGATAATGGCAGGCACGGATGGGGCCTGTCACAGATGCCTGCAACGGCACGGAAAGCAAAGCTCCAGGTGGATGTGGGAAGTGAGAGGATCATTACCCAACCCCCGCCCCCCACAGACTGCAACACAGGCAAACAGCCCCAAGGGAAACTGCTGGCCTGTCATCAGCTAAACCCAAGGGGAAGGGGGCAGGTGTTTGCCACAGACAGAAGGAACTGTGGGGCTTTGAAGCCAGACAGATGCTGATGTAGCTCCTGCGAGCTGTGTGGGCTCCAACTCCACATCTGGATTCATGAGTGGAGACACAGGGTTATAACTGATGCGTACTATCGGCCCCTGGTTAAGCCGGCCTTCCAGGCCCGGATGCCTCACTGCAGCCACGCAGCCGGTACCAGCAGCATTATCTGTTTTCAGCTGAGGAATCAGAAGCACAGAGACTGTAAAAGATTTGTCCAAGGCCACACAGCTAGTCTGTGGCAGAGCCAGGGTTTGAAGTAGGGTCTGATGTCAAACGTGGCCCTCCTCACACAGCCTTGCAAGAGCATTGTGTAAGGGAGTGCTGGCACCTGCATGTGCCAGGCCCTGCCCTGGGCGCTGCGACTCAGCTGCCAACACCAGCGACTGGCCCTGCTCCCACAGAATTCGCACACTGGGTCTGGGCAGGGGGAGAGGTGGTTTCAGATGCCCACGGCTGCACCTGGCCCAACTCTCGCTTCCAACCTCAGGTTAGAGAGACCAGGGACTGCTCCTTGGTGCCCGAGCTTTGCTCCCCAGAGTAACTCACATTTGGGGCCCCCCCGGATCTTTCCAGGCCTCTATCAGACACAGTCCTCACCCTCTGAGAAGTCGCTCACCCTTAGGTGTGTTGCAAGGAATCTGTTCCCAGAGAGATGATGCCTCGGGGCACACAGCACAGCAGCCCCCAGACCAGTGAGTAGAGCCCCTGTCTGCCCAACCCCGACTGCGGGAGCCCAGCCCGGACGTCACCCTTGCATCGACTTCCTCTTCCAGAATCTCCCGTCGGCCGTTTCCAAATCCTGTTCCCTTGGGCCCCTTCAAATTGGTTTCCTTCTCACCACCCTGGGTGCCCTGACCCCAGCCAAGCCTCCCGCTGTCTCACTGGCCCCCTGGACGTGGGTCTCCCGCTCCCTGCACCACCGCCAGGGGGCTTCCAAAGCTCCCTTCCGACCCCCTCACTCCTGTTTCCACAGCCATCAGTGGCTCCCTGCTGCGGGGTGCAACGCCCGCCCCCGCCACCAGGTCCACGAGGCCCAGCCTGCCCCTCCACTTTCATTCACCGCCGTCCTGCCCCTCTTCTGCATCCATCTCTTAGTGCCACCCCCACCGCCCCAGCTGCACAGGCCTTCGTTCCACCCTCTCTATGTCCTGCAGGCCTCACATCCATGGCCGCCGTTCCTAGAGCTCTCCTACTCATCCTCAAAGTCTCAATGCAGGTTCAGATCCTTCTGGAAGCCCCACTGTCCTCAGGCCTTAGCGATCCCTGCTCTGTGATCCCACAGCACCCTGCGTCTTCCCCTCAGCACAGCACTGTGCTTCTACTGGCTGATCAGCTCTCTCCCCCCAGGAGACCAGCAAGGCCACGTCCCTTTGTTCACTGCAGTGTCCCTGGCACATAGCCAACTGCTTGCATAACGAACATTTTCTGAGATCAATACGCCTATGTCCCTATAAACACAGCCTCCCTGGTCTTGGTCAAAGACTAATTCAGAAGATCAATACATTAACCAACTTTTAGTATTAAAGAAAATAGCTCCAAACACACCTGATATTTGATTCTGCTCTAATATTTCTTTTGTTTAACCACACAGGAAACTGAAACACTCTTATATTTCTACAGCCCAACTCCCCCAGCCTGGAGAAGCCAGGATGATTTGAACTCAAGATCTGGCTTGGGAAGGAAAACAAACCAGTCTTTAGATGTGACCCACACCTGGGCTCTGACTGCTTCATTTGGGGCCCCGTCCCAGAAGCCCTGTTTACCTTCAGCCCTTGTTCAACTAAAGGATCACAAAGTGGAAAGAAAAACAAGCTGCCTTCAGACACGGTGATACCGGGGAGGGACAGAGACCCAGAGTTGTGACATCTCAGTTTGGATCCCGGCTCTGCCCCTCGGGGAGGGGATGCTCCTGGGCTCTCCTCTCCAAGCCTCCGTTTCCCCGGGTGTGTGATGGGGAAAGGTTTCCTATGTCAGGGTTGATGAGCAAGTGGAGTATGACAGGCAAGGCATTGAGCGCCGAGTGATGGATCTAAGGCAAAGCTCCAGCTTACCAAGACTGCTAACAACGCTTGCTGAAGGGGCATATCGGATCGTCCCAGCCCATACATACCGTTCTCTTCCAAGAACCTCAGCGCATCCAAATATCCTCGAAGGCATAGCTCTCCAAGCACCTGTGAGCAAATCAAGCAAGTGAACTGCGGGGAGTCACCACGTGCATTTATTTAAATGTCATCTGAAGACTGCCGAGAAGAACTGAAGAATCCTCCCAGCTCCGAGCTCTGTACGTCCTGAGCACGGCCACCTTGACACTGAACAAAGTGCTTTGGACCCCCAGGAGACAGTCTCCTGTGGGACTCGGCTCGAGTGTCACCACTCCACGGAGACTTTGCTGGCACCCCAGCATGACAGGGGCTTGTTATTCTGAGTTCCCTCGGTGCTGGGATAAGCCTCCCCGCTAACAAATCTCAGGGCCTGCCCTAACGGTCACTAGGACAGTAAAGCTGCCTCCCCTACTCACCTGCATGCAACCACACAGGAAAACCAACCCTCTTACGGTCTTCCCGGACCCTGGGCGCTTGCACTGCTGTGTACACAGCCCTGTGCAGCCTACTTTCTCCCCAGGCCCACGGCTGCTGGTGCACACAGCCAGCACATTTTCTATGTGAGGGAGTGAGGCAAACTACAACAGCAGCAATCAAAGAAGGTTCAGCCACTGAATGTGGCGGCTCTTGACCACAGCTGCAATTAACAATCATCATGGTAACTGAAAAAACTAAAGGCTACACCCCCCTATTGAAACCATAGTCCCCGGAAGTGGGATCTGAGCTTCGGGTCTGGGTGTACGTTCCCAGGCGATTCGCGTCATCAAGGTGGCGCATCACCGAGCTTCTGGGGCAAACACCTTTTCTTTGAGTTGATCACCAATAGCACTAGTGACAATTCAGTCTGACTGCACAGAGAACAACTGGTATCTCCTGGCAAACAGGGAGGCAAAGAAGAGCTGCCCTCCCAAACACCCCCACTCACCTTGGGATCTGGGGGGGAAAGTGATCTGAGCATAAGGTAGATGTTCGCTGAGCAGACGCGAATATTGAAGGTGTTGAAGCACACGTGAAGAAAGTTCGTGGACCTGGTTTTAGGGCAGATGTCATACTCCCCGTAGAAGGGGCATACAGTGATGGTCGTTTTGGCATCAGATAAGGGCAGGTTATCACTCCCTCCTCCATCTATGTATCGCTTTTAAGGAAGAGAAAAGAGGATTGATAATGTTTGAAGCTCTGGGCTAACGTTTGCTGAGTTTTCAGACCACGGGCAGACGCTTCTCAGAGCCACAAACAGGCTGACGCGGTGGGACGATAGTGGCTTTGGAATCACTCTTGCAACAAATCCTTACTGAGCATTTTTGTGCCAGGCCAGGCTCTACACTGGCACTCAGCGTCGCTGTACGCCATTGTACAGTATGTGCACTGCACCAAAGTGCCTGGCAAGGAGGTAGGTGGAGACTACAGTCCAGCCCACACTGTGCTGCCCAAGTCCCATGGCCAGGCAGGCACCCTAGGTATGCCCATGTAATGTGCGTAAAGGTGCCGTATGAACGAGGGGTGCATCATGCGCTGGGGACAAAGTGTGATGTCAACCCAAAGAAGACAGATGTCAGTGAATTCAAACCCAGACCCCTTGCTTGGGAACCTGGGACAAGGGATCCAACCTGTGGGCCCATCTCCCTCCACAGACTGAAAGTGAGAACCAGTGACATAAGGGGCTTTTGAGACCAATGGAACAGTGCACCTGGGACCCATACGGCTCTCAGAAATTGCCTCTAAGGGGTAGTCGCCCTCCTGTGGTTTCCCCTGCACATTCAGTGACTGTGTTTGCCTCTATCCGCAGTAAAAAAGAAAAGAAAAGAAAATGTCCTCTTATCCCACACGAAGTGGCAATTTGGATAAATTCTTCCGAGGATGAGTTTTCTTTCCTTTTATATCCTTGAGCAAAGGCTCAGTAAGGACTGCAGATGTAGTATCTGGCCTGTGACAGATGTCTCCTAAGTGCGACTTCCCTCTGCCACTTGGCTTTGCCTATGCTGCCTGCAGGATTCTATCAAATACCCTGTTAGCGTTCTCGTGCGTTCAAAAATGACCCCTGAAAGGCCAGTGTTTTCGAACCTAAACTTTCTCTTGTGCATCACAAAGTGGCAGAACAAAATAAAGCAAAAATCCCTGTTAGGCCAGACTCAGATCTTTTCTTTGATTTTTTTTTTTTTTTTGGTTTTGAAAATATATGACTTATATTTCCTCCGAAGAATAAAGCTCTACCTTACTGAGTGATAGATTCTCCAGGGTCTTATACTTTAACTAGGCCATGGGGAGGTTATCTTCGGTGCTCATGGGTAGGTTAAGTGAACCAGAGGGCTCGCTGGGTGGGATAGCGAGATAATGAATTACATATGCAGGAAGTTTCGCCTCCCAGGCGGCCTGGATATAGGGCCCGCTGTGGATTGTCTGTGGGAAAGGCTGCCAGGCCCAAGGCTCTGCATGTGGACACAGTCAGGGAGCCTGAGACCAGGGTCGTGGGCGGGAGCTATGTGACACGTCTTAGATGGGCCCAGCACCAGCTGTCGAAAGCAGACTTACCACGCCTCGGAAGGTAGGAGGGAAAAAGCCGCAGTAGAAAGGGATGAAGCAGGAGCACCACAAGGCCTGTGGACACAAAGGGAGTGAAACCACGTGCCAAGACACACTGCCCTTTCATTTCCCTGGTGCTTTGTAACAAGCCTTCAACAAATGAGCAAGGCAACGAATCTGAAATGCCCTTTGCCCAGAGCAGGGGCTGTAACGCGCGGGTTCTATGAACCGTGAACCAACACGCGCACTCGTCCTGCAGGCCCGCGGTCTCAGCCACAGCGTAAGCTCCTGAACAACACTGCCCGTGCACTTCAACTGCCTCTCCTTGCTCTCCACGAGAGCTGCACTGGGTCTTCGCAGACAGGACCAAGGTTTGTTGACTCAGTGACTGGAAGAGGCTAGATTGGTGCTTCTCGCTTGCTGATATTCATCAGCATCATTGCAGAGCTTGTGGAACCCCCAATCCTGTGCCCTACCCCCTGGGATGCTGACGCAGCAGGTCGGAGGTGGGGCCTGAGAGTCAGCAGTTCTAATGAGCCACCTGCAGATGCTGCCACTGCTGGTCCCAGGATCACACTCTGAGAAGCACCAGCTACGGGGCATTAAGCCAGAAACCGCACTGAGTCGCTGAGAGAATGGATTCATGTGGGAACAGACAGGAGCTGGCTATTTAGAAAAAGCTTCTGGAAACAAGGTTAAACAGACGATGAAACTGGCTGCTGGACAGCTGGTTAGATGTGCCAGGCTGCTGTCTCATACAGACCTGTGTTGGGTAAAATGTACTCATTCATCCAAGGAACTACGAATTTTGATATTGCAAATTCTCTTCTCTGTGCTACACTCTAAGCACAGAGGCAAATAAGACATGTTCCCACGCTTGTGAGGCTTCCTCATCTTGGAACATGCATGAACACGCTCGGAAGGACACAGGCAGCATAGGTTCCTTGCACAGGGTGGTCGTGAGCCAAGTGTTGAAGGAGGGGGAGGGATTATTTGAAACCAAAACTGCCCTGGCACATTCTGGGTTTACAGACATTAGGGACCAAACCACTGGATGCAGAGCGTATGTCACTCTGGGGCAGGAGACCTACAACAGCCCTCTTTCTTACTTGACAACACCCAGAGAAACAAATTGCTTACGTCCACAACTTCATCTTTGGAATGAAAATCAGACACCAACACGTTTTTCCCATCTGACACTCTGGTGAGCGAGATGCAGACTTTGCTGGAGATGAGTTTGTGGACGTCGGCCGGGAGGTATTTGTTCAGATTGTCTCTGAAAAATTTGGTCATGTTGAAGGACGGATGAAAGATGCCAATGTTCTTTCTTCTGGCCATCCTGACTAATTCCATGAGGACCTGCAGAATAAGGTCTAGGGGCGGGAGACGAACACATGAAAGAATGTACCACACTGGAGATGGGAATACTTCTTGGCAAGACCAGAAACCAGAGAGCAAGGAAGCTGCCAACCTTTCTGCAGACCTGCACTAATACAGTAGCCACAGGTGACCACTAAGCCCTTGAAACGTGATTAGTCTGAATTCAGACATGTAAAATACACATTGGATTTCAAAGGCTTAGTATGAAATATGTCATTAATAACATTTCATGTTGATTAGATGTGGAAATGATATTTTGGATATATTGAGCTCAACGAAGTTAATTTCACCTGTGTCTTTTACTTTTTTCAACATGACTCCTAGGAAATGCACAACGGCATGCATGACTTGTAGCGTGTCCTGCTGCACAGCACTGCTCTAGGCCTCAGCCACAAGAAGGGGCCTCCCACTTCCAGTGGCCCAGGTCAGCACTGCCCATCTTCATGCCCCACAAAGCCAGAGGCCCTGAGCCCATCAGCATCACAGCTTTGGCACAGATGGCCTTAACACTGTGGGTGCAGAAGAAAGCAAGTTTGGACTCGAGTTCGAATCCTGCTTCCACCTTTTACTATCGGAATGGCCTCAATAAGGCACTTCACAACCTAAGTCTCAGACTGTGCCTTTTTAATTATAGGACAAGATTCACCTACCTTTTGGAGACAGAATACGATAAAATACAGTCTGTAAGGTGCACAACCCAGAGGAGGCTTCTAATGAATAACTATTATTGTCAACCTTAAGCCTTTACTGCCAGAATTACCTGTGTAGTGAGCACAGAGCACATCCATGCTCCGTCTGACCTCACTCACTGGCCTGGCCCCTCTGGCTCATCTTCACTGTCCTGGCATGCAAGACCATCCCTCTCAGCCTGACACCTGGCCAGCCATGCACTCTAGGATGCACAAAGACAAACGTGCCCCAGCTCGTCCTGATCCAACCCTGACCTCAATGTGTGGCTCTCCCTCCTCGAGTGGCCCCACTGAGCCTGGCCAGGAGGGGTGGAATTGCACACGGCTGGCAGGTTCTGCCTGTCTCTCCTGCCAAGTCAGCCTTGGCTCAGATGCGCTGAGGAGCTGTGCCCAGGTCACAGCTTCTGGGAAATGCACAGCAGTCCCCACGTGCACAGCCCCCTCTCAGACAGGGGGTTAAAGCAGGAACCCGGGGCTCCAGAACACGGGGGTGGAACCTGCCAAAACCTCCAGATCCACTTTCCAGGGACGCGGTGGTCCCTGAGCCTCCCCGTGTCCCGCTGGGCACAGCCCCAGGCCGTACCAGTCCTCTGCCGAGTCAGGAACCACCTCGATACTGGAGCATACTTCAGGCTCCTGGGATCAGCACATTTGAATCTTGTCCTAATTAAACATTCGTCCATGTGGGGGCCCATAGGCCACCTTGGGATCCAAGAGCTAGCTTTTATCATTGCTAAAGCCCAGGGTGTGCAGATGGTCACCTGGCCAGGCCAGTCCAATCTACCCAGAGGCCACACTTCCTGCCCTAAGCTCCTCTCCCCCTCACTAGGGGGCGCTGAGGGCCAGGGCTGTGCAATCCCTAATCCCCACCTCCCAGTCAGCCCAGAGTCTGCTCACTGATCCTACCCAATGGCAGGGCTCTGCCTTCCAGCAGGGGTTTCTGGCCTCACCAGAGTCACTCCCTGCTAGCTCTCGCAGCAGAGCAAAGACGAGATTGTTAGGGAAGCCCAGATAAGCGGGAGCTGATAAGGGGCATTATCTGCCTGTCTGGGGACCTCTGGGTGTCAACGGCTCCACACTGCCACTTGCCCCAGGCCCCGAGCACTGGGTCAGATGGACGGATGAAAGATGGAGACATGTTGAAAAAAGTAAAAGACACAGGTGAAATTAACTTCATTGAGCTCAATAGATCCAAAATATCATTTCCACATCCTCCATCCCTGGGAAGGATGCCACACCCTAGTTCAGGCCAGTGAGACACAAACCTCAAGTGTTCCCCTGCCACAGGCACCAACATGGACAAATGTTTAATTAGGGCAAGATTCAAGCGTACATGATCTCACATCCAGTGGCACTGAGCTGGGAGGGCTGGCTCAGGCCAGTGGGGACCTGAGGAGAGGATGGGATGGGGGACTCTACAATCCCGCCCCCCACCTTGCACGTCATGGTCAGGACTCCAGCTAGTCTGCTCTGGAGGACGCCCAAGGGTCGCTCCCTCTAAGAGGACACCCAGCCACCAGGGGGCTGGGTCGCAACCCAAAGCAGGCGGGCACGGTGCGTCTTGAGTCCCTCAGGTCCCCGCCCCTCCCCTAGAAGGTGCCCACCCTGGGACTCCGCCAAAGCCCGCTCTTGGTCAGACCCAGGGCAAATAGGCCCTTCAGCGGCTCAGCCAGCCCAGTGCATCCAGAGCAGACGCTGGGGACCCTCCGTCCGCGGGTCCCGCCCCCTCCTCCCAGTTGCTCTGAGATCGCTGGCTCTCAATGTCATGGCCAGGAGCTCCCTTCCAGCCTGAGCGCTGAGGAGGTTTGGGGCGGGGAGGCCCGACAGTTCCAGGCTGGGAACTTTCCCACCTGGACTGTTCTGGGTTCCCACCTTCAGAAGAGCCCCCCTCCGGAGCGCCCCCTTCCGGGGCCCAGCAACAGAGACCCTGGCTAGGGGAGTCAGACGCCTCAGAGGAGTCGTCCTCATCCGCACGCGGAGACCTATGGGATGCAGCCCGCAGCGTCAGTGTCCGCCCGCCCGGGGCCGTCCCCGCTTCCCTGGGGTCCACCCGCTGCCCAGCCTGGGGGCGTCCCTCCCCGCACGGAGCCCATCCCGGGAGGCGGCCCACACGCACCCAGCGACATCCCGGAGACGTAGGAGACACAGTGCAGCGCCCCGCTCGAGGCGCCATACAACATGCGCGCGTCGCGCAGGAGGTGAGGGGCGCGCTCTCTCAGGCAGCGGGTCGCCCCGATGTGGTAGAAGCCCAGGAAGCCACAGCCCGAGAAGGACAGGCTCCAGCCGTGCTCGGGGTCGTACATGGCGGCGCGGGGGGTGCGGGGCGGATCAGAGGTCCGGAGCAGGGGTTGTTGCCGCGCGGGCCCCAGCCGCTCCGCTGCCGCCCTCCCGAGTTCTCCGCCGGCCGCGCCAGCAGGGACTTTCCCCGCGTGACGACAGCCGGCCCCGCCCCGGCCGCGCCGAGGGCCCGCGGGAGCCCCCAGGGCCTGGCGCGACGCCGGCCCCTCCCCCGCCGGGCCGGGACTGGGAGGGGCGGAGAGGGGAGCACCTGTGCGGGGGCCAGCCCGGGAGCCCCCACTCTGGAGAGAGTTCTCCAAACCCTGAAGACTGTGGATACCCTGCAGAGAAGGCTTCCTTCTCTGTTCCTTTCCCTCCTGAAGTCAGGGAGAAAGTCACAGTCGGGTCCGTCATGGACCTTTGACGCTTTATCAGTTCCCTTGTCACACCAGGAGAGTCAGCCTAAAGCAGGCGCTGCCATTATCAGTAGAATTTAATGTCTTTACTTTGTTGTTTTGTTTGTTTTTGCAGTTTTTTGTATGATTGTCTTCAATTCATGGCAGGTGGCAGGGATTTTTCATTGAATGACAGTGACAGGAAGTTTCCGTCCCAAAGTTTCTCTTATAAGTAAAGCTCGTGGGCTGTGGCAAGGTGGCTCATGCCTGTGGTCCCAGCGCCTTGGGAGGCTGAGGCGGGAGGATTATTTGAGGCCAAGAGTTTGAGGTCTCACCACTGCGCTCCAGTCTGGGTGACAGAGCAAGACCCAAGACTCTGTCTGTAAAATAAAAAAAAGTAAAGATTGTGAATGACAGGTGCTGGGGTAGGGTGGGGGTGGGGGAAGGGCAACGTAAGAAGGTGGGAGTTTGCTGCTATAACAAAGTGCTATAGTTTGGATGAATTATAAACAGCAAACATTGCTTTTTCACAGTTCTGGAGGCTGGGGAGCTCAAGTTCAAGGTGCCAGCCGATTCAGTGTCTGGGGAGGGTCATTCTTCATAGAGGGCGACTGGTTGCTTCCCCCTCACCAGGTGGAAGGGGTGAGGCCGCTCTCTGGAGGCGCTAATCCTCACGCTCCAGAGACGAAGAGAGGAAGGAGCGGGCAGGGGTCTCCCCGTCCAGTTCTCTCAGCCCCTTGCCTGGTATCGGTGGGGTGGGCCATGGTATGGCGGCTCAGACTGCAGGCTTTGGCGTCAGATGGCTGGGGTACAAATGCCGGCTTCTCTAATCACTAGCATCAGACCTTGTGGGCATCGTTTCACCTCTCAGAGCTTCAGTTCTCTTATTTGTAGCAAGAGGCAGAAAACAGCTGTTTGAGGGTCGAGGTGAGGTTAACGTGTCAGACAGAAAGCCCCCCAGCACAGTGCCTGGCGGCCCCACACTTCACCCTGTCCCATCTCCCTCTCTCCTCCCCCCACTTCTGAGTCCCTGTCTCTGTGCCCGCCACCCACGCTCCCACGCACAGCCCGTGTGCGGTCAGGATCCAGACCTCGGTTACGGCACACTGAGTTGTAAACCTCTCCTATCTTGAACTCGGTGTCCAGGCCCCAGGGAAACTTCTCTGTATCTCTTGACCCATTTCCCCAAAAGAAAAGGTGACTGCTTTGCCCACGGCGCAAAGGTTAGTGGCTGTGCCCTTCTCACATCAGGCACGGGCGCCGCTTCGAAACACGGGGAGTTCGGGCAGCTGAAGCACTTAGGAAAGAGGAAAATGGAATTAATGTGTCACGCCTCAGATGGCCCGGAGGCAGAGGATGCTCGCATGACGAAGGGCCCTTTTCCAGGAGTGACAGGGGCCCGTTTCTTTGTGGCTTTTCATGGCACTCAAGATATAATGTGGGACCGATTGGCAGTAGGGGTACACAGAGACGAGGACCATTTTTCAATATTAAGCAATTGATGTTGCTATTCAATTTGTATATTTACATTTCCAGCCATAACATATAAAATGTAGTATCTCTTGTTTCCCTTTGGCAGCTAGGTGGGTATGAAACAGTAGAATTGAAAATAGCTTCATTTCAATAAAAATATTTAGTAATATTTTAGTTTTCAGTGAAATTGAATAATTTAAATCAATTTAATTTCATTAATAAAATTAAATAATTTTAATTGAAAAAATTTCAATATTTTTTATATGGTATGTGGGGTAACCAACTTGTCCCAGTTTGGGACTTTCGTGGTTTTAACACTAAAAGTCCTGCATCTGGGGAAACCCCTCAGTCCCAGACAAGCAGGGACTATTGGTCAACCCTAAGTCTTGCTCTGGGCCCTGCTAATGTCGGGGATAGATCTACGTGGCCCATAATTAGTCTTCAATGAATCCTAGCAATTGTTAATGTTCCTGGACAAGAGATGGCTAAACCACTGGCCCAGAGACCTAAAAGAAGACACAGAATGAGAGACCAGCTCAGAATGGAAACACATCATCAACCCCCATTATTCAAGGATTGTGTATTTACCAATTTGCGTACTTGCTAAAATTTATTTAAAACTCCAAAATGAACACCCGCAGCTCTTTTGTGGACATTGGTGTATATGCGCGGAGCAGCCCAAAAATGTGAGTTGCCCAATTCCCAGCTGAGGTGACACCCTGCCTTCTTGTCTTGGCTCTCCTGCTGTAAACAAGTGTCCTCTTTTCAAACTTGGGGGCTTTTTGTTGGCGATTTTGCTGTCTAAATGGTCCGCATGCATACTGCTGAAGCGCTCTCTGGTGTTCCTGCATGCAACAAGGCTGCGTGTGGCTTACAGAGGATATCCGTGTGTTAGAGAAGCTTCGTTCAAGTGTGAGTTATAGAGCTGTTGGCTGTGGGTTCAAAGTCAGTGAATTAATAATATATAGGCCAGACGTCATGGTGACTCTCATCTGTAATCCTAGCACTCTGGGAGGCCTCAAGAAGATTGCTTGAGGCCAGGAGTTTGAGAACAGGCTGAGCAAGAGTGAGACCCCGTCTCTACTAAAAATAGAAAAATTAGCTGGGTGGGATGGCACACACCTGTAGTCCCAGCTAACCGGGAGGCTGAGGCAGGAGGATCGCTTGAGCCCAGGAGTTTGAGGTTGCTGTGAGCCAGGCTGACGCCACGGCACTCTAGCCCGGGCAACAGAATGAGACTCTGTCTCAAGAAAAGGAAAGAAAAAAAAGTATATCAATTAAGGTGTCTTTAAATAAAAACACACACGAAACAAGGTTATGTGTCGATTGATTGGCGAAAATGTGACCGAAGCCTGGCAGGTCTAGGAGCAGTGATTCAGTGTGGGCTGGTTCGGGTGCAGCGCGACTTTACAGACCACAACCACCATGGAAAACAAGAGTCAGCCGTAGGTCGCCCCGACGCTCACGGAGGGGAGCAGCGTGGGTGCTGTGAGCTCTACGGTTTGTTTCCCACATAGAACTAGACACACAGAGGCGCCAGCCCTGACCACGCTGGCTCAGCCCAGCGCACTGGGTCCAGACAGTGACACGAGGGCTCCAGGAGTCCGCTGTCCTCCTCCCTGCACTGCTGGCCAAGTGACAGCTGGCACCCCTCACCCAGTTTCCGAACCCCGGCACCTTGAGGACTGACTCGGTGGGAGGTCCTAACTTCTGTCAACCCGCCCGATGTCCTGATCTGTGCACAGACACACATTTCTGTGAATGGGAGAACTGGCTGATTTCACATGTGGACAAAAAAGCAGTGGAAACGAGATTCAGGCAAGGTGGGAAGAAGCAAACACGAGAATAGCCCCTTGCCCACTGCTGTGCTCCCCTCACGCCTGCAGCTTGACCTAGACCTGCCACCTCCACACACCCGGCCCAGCTTGTCCCAGCCCACACTGAGGGCTCTGGGCGGGGAGCCCGGGTCAGCCCAGCTGCCGCCTCCCTCAGCCTGCATCCCCATCCCTCGCCTGGCGTCCCAGCTCAGGCTGCGATTCACTGTGTTTTACTTTTTTAAATCGTGGTAAAATATACCTAGCATAAAATTTTCCATTTTAACCATTTTTAAGCGTACAGTTGAGTGGTGGTGTGACTGTCACCACCCTCCATCTCCAGAACTTTTTCATCTCCCCAAACTGAAACCATCCCCATGAAGCACTAACTCCCCATCTCCCCCAACCCCTGGCTCCAGTATTCCACTTCTGTCTTTATGGATTTGACTACCCTTGGTACCTTACATGAGTGGAATCATGCGGTATTTGTCCTTTTGTGTCTGGCTTCTTCCACTGAGCATAATGTCCAAGGTTCACCCATGTTGTAGCACGTGTCAGAATTTCCTTCTTATCTAAGGCTGTACAATATTCCCGTGGGGGTGTGTGTGTGAATACGCACACCTGTGGGCACCTCCAGGTCAACACGTCCAGAACCAAACTCAATATATGCAACCCCTCCTGACCTCTAAATTGGCCCCTGCTTTTCCCTGAAGCTCTGGAACCTCCCTACCCCAGTCCAGCAGTCTTGGCCAAAACCAGGCTGGACAGACCAGGGGAGGACACAAGGGAGGAGGCTGTGGCGATGGGCCCAGCGGAGCAGCAAGAGAGAAGGGAAGAGATTCAGGGGCCATGTAGGGGGCCACAGGGTCTGCGGGTGTCTCCTGAGCAGAGTGGAGTCGCGGGCGGAGGAAGCTGAGTGGGAGGGAAGGACAGCGAGTGGCAGGATCAGACGTGCAGGATGCCTGGAAGTCTGACACCCACAGCAGCCCGGTGGTGCTGGACACGAGGATGAGCGAGGGGAGTGGGGGCTTCACCTTCCTCCTCCAACCCCCAACTCCCCATCGTTCCCGTCTCTGCAACCCGCCCCTCCATGCCCGTAAGCCGGGAACCCGAGTGTCCTCTCTTGTCTGCCTCATCTGCTCCAACCCCACGTCCAGGCTGCCATGGGTGACCGTCCTCCTAAAGCCCCTCCTCTGCCACCACCCTCATCTGGATCGGTCCTCCAACATTTTTGCTCATGGACCCCAAAGACTCTTGAAAAACAATGTATCCCTTGCACGCTGTTAACTTAATCCCCAATGTGACAATGTCTCTTGCACATTTTTAAGTCAATATTGTAGGGGATGAAAGTTCACAGCCCTCACCAAGCCTCCAGGCCCTGCTTGCCTCTGGGACTC